TGGTTTCACTCGCCAAAACGACAAATTAAGACTGCCTATTCCATCATCAAATTTGATTAAAAACTCATTGATCTATAATGCAGCTAAAATATAAGACCATCTACCGACAAGTTTTAAAGATATCCAATCACCTTATCAGTTTAGGAAGTCTGTGAAGCAAGTTCTCATTGATCAGATCTTTTATAGTGTTCAAGAGTACTTTGATAAAGATATGGATGGAATTCTGATATGAAATTATTCCCTGTTCAATTATTTTGCTTATGTTGATTTTTGATAGTTCCTGAAATTTTGAAAACAGTGTCTGATTATCTTATTTACTTATGTATTTTATCTATTTACTTCCTTATTCACCTTTTAGTGTCTGACTATTCGTTCATCTAGGAAGTATATAGTATATGAATATGTATGTGTGTGGTAGGTATTTATGTGCGTTCATATATGCATATTCATAAATTTATTCATATATTCTGTAATATCTTCATGACAATAATTTTTTATATTCCTAAATGTAAGAAAATTATTGTATCCCATATTAAAAAAACTTATTATGTGTTGTTTACAACCGTCTCTTTTCTTTTGGTTTCTATAACTATTTATAATTGCTTTGTTTACGAGATGTTCATATTTCGACAATGAAGTAAAATAAAAAAAATTCTCATGAGAAAGTCAGTTGGTGGCAGAATTCAGTTGGTAATATGCAAATTATCGAAATTCTGATCAGCAAAAAAAGTTAGGTATTTTGAAGAAATGAATCATAAACTTACCTCCATCGGTGGATCCCATGAAAATAACACCGAAAAGCAATACCAATAGAAATGTTTGGAAATGCATTATGATCATCACTGCCTAGGCTGACAGTATACAAACACCTTATATAGAGATTGTAATAAGTTGTCGAACCGTAAACAATGACAGTGATTATCTTAGAACGCTCATCTTCATTAAAAGAAGTCCGAACTGATGGAACACATCACGAAACAATATCTAAAGTTGATAACATCATATGGTCCAATAACAATATTGAAAAAAATTAATCAGTAGCGAAAAACCATGACATAACTATGTTTGTTCGGCCAATATTTGCTTACATCATTCACTGTGCAGATAAATTTTTTAAAGGCTCTCAAACTTAAGTCCCTGATCTGAATAGGGATCGAAATGAACTGTTTAATAGCAGTATAGATATATCCCCTCTGAGAAATATCTGTCGAATGATGTGGCATCCTGAGTAAGCCCTTTTCTTTACATTAATAGAATGTGTATGAGATCTAGGAAGTAATCTCCTTCGATTAACATCATTTTCATTTCTCATCATTTTATAAACATATGCCGCCGACGAACAGCTGCCGGAGCTACTTTGCCATGTTTTCTCTTTTGTAAAAAGACAAAACAGGGAAAAGAAATAACAGCTTGTCGGATATAATTTAACGCCCTTCGTGGTATTAGCCAGGGGAGTAGGCGTCAGTCAATTTAACCTACTGTGTAGGTATATTCGAGACTGACTTGAACGTCAGTACCGATTACCGGGTGATTCCATATAGATTTTATGTAGAATGATTCATTGTGAGTAAATTTCATGAATACCAGGAACAACTTTATTGCTTTTTTTTGTAGAATTTAATCTGATCTATGTTCGGTGACTTGGATTTGATTTCAATTGAAGTCAATGCTCCTGTTGATCGTACATAAGTAATATTCTGTTTGAAAGATAATATAACTGGCAAAAATAATTCATTCATCCAAATAGGTGATACGTATGCCCAGCTTTTCGGGCCTGATTCCTACTGACGAAACTGAAATATTAACTTCATCGTAAGCCTGGGCATTTCGGGACTTTAAAAGTTATTGTACTATTATAGTTACGAGAGAGTTTCCACCAGTTTTCATTCCTCTGACCATTCATTTTCCAAATTTGTTTCGATTATTTTCAATGGAATAGTCCATTTATTTTTAATGCCATCGTTAATAACTGAACGAGAGAAAAAATATCGTGTATTCTCACCGAAATTAAAATCATCATTTAGGTCATTAAAGTTCAATGATTTGATAGTTATCTTGAATGACGCTCATATGGTTACATCCTATTTTTCCGTCAATGAAAAGCATGTGTGCTGCTGAACCGTGAAGTCAACAGATCCGTTTAGGTTTACCTGATTATTTCGTTGTTTCGGGAAACCTACAATAAAGTCACACTATAGACTGTTTTTGTGAAGTTTCGAGAAAAATTACCTCAATTACATTCTTGGAAAATGCATGTTTAATCTGAAATTATTGATGATTCATGCGTTGGGTAATAGATGAAATATTTAAATATCAAGGAAATCATCTGTCTTGTTTGTGTTTAGACCTTATAATGGAAATTCTGAAACTCCTTGGAGGGAATTAGAACAATTTTTATGTGACAAAACATTGAATTGGAATAGTCAAGTCTATTTAGATTTAACAGTATCACAATGAAATGGAAAGCGTGCTCATAAATTCCAGAAATATTTTTTCATTATCATTATTAGGCATTCAATTTCAGCGTCGTCGAGGCAAATCCGACTATAAAAAATAATAAGAACCCAGTTCTGTTGTATACTGCTTCCCATAAATTTACGTAGCTAATTCCCAACAACTAACTAGCAATGTTCATTAATCTTGTGTATTTCAATTAAGTTGTATGTATTCGAAAGTAACCGGAAGATCTGGAAGATCTAAGCCCAAAAAAAGTTCAGACGGCAATCTAGATGCCTCACGTGTTTTCGTATTTTCTCATTTTTGTGATATGATCGATTAATTTTTTTTTCTGCTGAAATCAGCCCTTACCGCTCAGGATGTATGGCGAGCATAGTTGGAAATATAATTAATTGTTATCGTTTAGCGAGCTGAAAAATTAAAAAATCATTAACAACAAATGAAAATTAACAATCAAAAGATTCCAAACTAAGGTATTCCACGACGTTTAGATTGTTAGTATCCACAATCGTCTTCGGGTGGTGACTTCGAAATCTGACTATTCATAGGTCATTCGAGTGCTTTCACCCATACCCTCTGTAGCTGACCGTTTGGCGGGAGTTGGTCGTGTTCCGCTTGATTAGAAGTTTCCATATGTTACGTATCTCTACGCTAGCTTGGCTATGCGTTGTTGGACAACATAAATGCGGCTTCTTCGAATTTTCTCCTAAACCAGTGTTCCTCCATGTGGATGATTTCAGCTTGAGCCCACTTGATGTTATGTTGATGAGTCCAAACATGCTCTGCTATTCCGGATTTGTTGGTTCCTTCTCGCTGTGTATGTTTCTTGTGCTCGGCAATGCGAACTTTCAATGGCCTCTTAGTTTCACCGATATATGATTCTCCGCACTCGCAGGGTATTTAGTAAATGCAATTTTTGGATTCGCAGTCTGCGTTTGGTGGCCTGGTTTTCGGGAGACTGCTACGTATAGTGTACTGAAACAGGTACTGATGTTATACCCAATCCTTCTTATCCTTTCCGACAATGCTCTGATATAGGTAAATACAAGTACTGGTTGTGGCAGCATCTCTTCCTTTTGGTGTTCTTTCTGTCTTCTAGCTAAAGCCTGTTCCCCCATCACTTTGGCGTAACCATTTCGTTGAAGGTCATTTTTGATGATGTCTAGTTCCTTTTTGAGACCTTCCTTTGTATTACAGAGTTCTAAAGCACGGTCTAGTAGAGTCTCGATGATTCCTCTCTCAGTCGATTGATGGTGGTTGGATTCCTGGTTCAGAGACTGTCCCGTGTCAGTGTGTTTTCGATATACATATGTTTTCCATTCAGTGTCAGTCCTCTTCATCAATACGTTTGAGAATGGCAATTTGTTGTGGACTTCCTCCTCCATTGTGAAAGTGATGGAAGGACTTACGTTGTTGATGTGCTCCAGGAAAGTGTCTAATTCTGCATTCCCATGGTCCCATATTATGAAAGTGTCGTCCACGTATCTCAACCAGACTCCATATATCGACTTCACCAGTACACCGTTACGGGGGGCAACTAAAGTCGAGCATTTATCGCAACGGGGACCACATTACTGAGAATATCTAGCCTTTCCTCACCCTGTTACTCAACATTGAGATAGTGAACTCTGTCAGAGGAGCGCTTAAGGTACTCGTCTACAAAAACAGTTTAGAGAGACTGACTTAGTCGAAAACAAACGAGAAGATCGAAGGTTAGGAGCAAATTTCGCTCTGCAAACTTTCTGTTATCCTTATTTTGCATCTAAAGTTTTTCGAATACAGCCACGACCCTTGCACGAAGATTATCAAGACTTTGGATTTTGAATTCGAAGATTGATTCGACTTCGATATTGTCGGAAACACAGTCTCCAACAGAGAAGCAATACAAGCCATTCGCCGTCGTTTACTACGAAGGCAAAAATGCCAACATTGGACACTACGTTACCGATGCCTTCCACGTCGGCTACAACTGCTGAATAAGCCGTGCACGAAGAAGACGTACTGAAACCTCAGGGGACGTGAGTTCCATATTTGCTGTTCTACAGGAAAAGAGATTCGATCCTATTTAAATAAGGTTGCTGCTTTTACGTAGAGTTCAACGTCTGAAATCTTACGTAATTTACTTTTTTAGATTTTATTGAATTTGACATTATTTGGTTTTAATGAATTTTTTATTCCTTCATTTTGTTGTAATTTATGACATGATGTAATAATACAAATTATATTATTCTTTGACAAAAAAATATGATTTCAGTATAATTGATACTCTGAGTATGAAAATTTGATCGGTCTTTCAGATAAATGGGTATTTTTCAATGAGTAGAATTATTATTTTGTAAATTCGTTATTGAAAGAATCTATCTTGGAGAACTAGAAAATATAATCTTTCAAATAGTTTTCGCAAGGTCGTAATTGAGAAGATTTTAAGTGTTATTTTGAACGGTTAAGCACATATATTTAAAGAGAAAGTTGGTTAAAGATATTTTAAATTGTATCTGCAGAACTTTCTAGTCCAATAAATATTGCCGAAATAAAAACCCAACTTTTACCAATAATACTTTATTTTTGAAACATCTCATCATTTCATCATTTTCATGAAATTTCATTCAGTTTTATTTTCCTCCTCCTAAATAAATTCTTCTTCCATTGGTTAGTGCTGGAGCTGACAATCCAGATGATTTCCTGAAGAAAAAAACATATGTATCGAGTGACTTTTTTGTTATATCAGGGTCAAAACATATTTTCTATAACAGAAAGATATAGTCAGTTGTGAAAAAAAGAGTAACTGGAGATTTTTCAATATATCTTTTAATGACCAGGTTCTTGCATCTAACAATCCCTCCATGTTCAAATATATGTTCAAATGATGAGTCAACCGCGGAGAGTATTGCTGTGTATATGATTCTCGAAAACAACGTGAGCCACGAATTGAAGCTTGCAATCAGTCTTTAATTCTTTATAACAATTTTCCTGAGGAAAAGAACTATATGTGCCTTGAAAAACAATAATAAGTATTCAGTCCACTTATGCATTAAGTACCAAAGTTCTCAGAACCCATTAGGATACTTCGAAAGTCATTTGGGTTATCGTGAGGTGCAGTTAATTGTCAAAGATCTGGACCCAGCTGGAGTTATGGATTGAGTGGCTGCGAATGTTCATAAATGTCCTAGAAGAATAAAACCCCACCAGCAGTCTACAGATTTTTTTCCATCTATTTTCCTCATTGACGATTTACATTGTGTAGGAATAGTCAGTCTTAGTGAAGATCACAAAAAAACACAATATCTCAAAAGAAGTAATCTAACAATAACAACTGAAAGGTATTAACAATAACAGCACACAACAATTTGGCCTCTTCTGAACCCTATATATGCAAGTAACATACCGTATATCTAATTCTATTATTGGTTCATGAAAAACTCATCCAATCTAATAATAAAAGATTTCAATGATTTATTGGAATGAGATATATTAACACAGCTTTTGATACCAGTAGGAAGCGAGTTGAATATTTGAGGCCCCAGAATATATGGCAAACACGTAGTAACCTCAAGTCTGGCAAATGACACATGTAGTTAATTTTTTTGCCTTGTATTCACTTTGTGATGAGGAAAGTTGGTTGTGAATTTATTCCGATGTTTATAGACAAATAGAGACATTTTGAAAATATTTAAGTAGTACACTGTCAGAATTTGATAATCCTTGTCCAATAATCTGCAGGAGAATGTTGAAGGTTTGCTAGCCAAGCGGCGTAGTATTTGTTTTTGTGAAATGAAGATTTTTGGAAAGAGATTCGAGTTACCCCAAAAACAAATACCAAATTATCTACAATACGTTAGCAGCCACTAGTATTCGTATTCTATCGAGTCGGTGCTATCTGATCAGCAGCACGCTTTGTCTCGAAGTTTGATGACCTGTTCAGCAACTGTGAAAGATCTGTTGGCCACCTTTCGATCCACAATGCATTGGATATTAGACGCAAGCTTTCATTTCGTGAACAGATCATTCAATTTTTCGAATCACAAGGTCGAGGTTTCGTCTTTCTGTCTGGAAAAACGACTAAAGGACAAGCCATTAGTTGTGGCTTCATGTGCTTATGTCTGTAGATGGACTTCACAGTCCAAAACATGCATTCTTGTCAGTTTCTAATTTTACGCGTAATCACTACTCTCGTAGGACCTCCAGATTGGTGGAGATCCTGGGCATAATTGGAAAATGGGGCTCACATGTTCCGTATGTACCGCATGCTTCACATGTTCCTGCATGGTTCCATTCGAAGGGGGCCTGGAATTGAGCTCGAGCTTTGGATTCGAGTCCAGCGATCTCGATGAAAAAGATGCTCGTATTGTGGTCTACACGAGAACACAAATAGTCGTTATGTACTCCACCATGTTGCCTTGGATACCTAATACAAGAAGGTTGGTTGGTTGGTTGTAAGGTCCCCCAAATCGCCTTTCCGGAACCAGGGAGTTAATTCAATAGAAAACAAGAGGTGACGTAACTCACGAAAGTTCGCAGATGATAGATGGCCTTCCCTACTTACTCACTATTCAACTGGAAGTTTGTATTTGAAACAGACAAATTTACTTACTCATCTCTTTCCTTAAGGTTTAGGCTCCTTTTCTCCAATTCATGAACTGCAGGTGTATGATTTTCCTCCAGGTTTAAGCTTCTTCTCTTCAATGCATGAAATGGTGGTGCATAATCTTCAGTGGTCTCTTCAGATACTTTCTTTACTGGTGATTATAAGAGAAATTGTATATTGCAGAGCATAGAAGCATCAAGGTAAGTTATTATCGGTGTCGCTGAAGATTAATTGAACAATGAAGATAAGAGAATTGGAACTTTCTATTTTTCAATTCTCTTTTCTTCATTATGATTTCCTACCACGTAGTAACGGCTACATTCATGTATTTAATAATTCTGATAAATCAGGGAGACTGAGCAGTGAAGAAAACTTGAGGTTTTAGCACTGATTGTGCCTCTTTATTTCATTTTCTCGATGTTGGAATGAAGAACAAAAAATGATGAAAATAAT